AGAAAATTTCTACTTTCGCACCTATAGTAATTTATATATAGAACCGCGTTACGTTTTACTATGATCATTCTTCAGTTAACTGGAGAATCGTCAATTAATTCAAAAAACCAGAAAGATAAACATCTGCTTGGCAAGATCTGAGTAAAGAAGTAGCATAGACTTTTAATGATAGCTATTAAAATAGGCTTTATCTGAGGCTAGTTAACTAAATACAATAAGAGTATCTGACAAGTTGCTCCACTAACCAGACCACCAGCTTGAATATAAGATCTCTTTGATTTACTAACAATTATTTTACCAAATGATCATTTAGCCGACATCACATAGATTAAAAGTTAAGCATTTCATTGGTTGCAAATATACTGTATATTTTTACTAAATTTCACTTAATATGATGTTGTCAAAATGAGCTGTTGATAAAGTGATTATTGGTGAATTAATACAAACCTCTTGAGTATCGACCAGAAAAAAAGGATCAACAGATATCATGAAACCAGTATTCCTTCTAGACCATCTGGATTGGTAGTCTGAAGAGACTGGCTAAAAGATACTAAAAGAAAAGGTACCAGATTGTCTTGAAGAGATGATATCAAGATTTAAATTAACTTTATAAGGGCTAAGTAGATAATGATAACAACTTCAGCTTGCAAATGCTTATCCTTGAACTTAACATAAGTTACTAAAGTAGACTAGGTAATATGGTAATAATAGGTACCAGACTACTCTAGCAGATAATGACCTTAAAAATAAATCAGTTAATTATGCCAGTAATTTTATAGGTAGCTTGTAACGATTTTAAAACTTGAACTGACTAATGTATTGCATGTTCTGGGTAAGGTTAGATGGATTGACATAGAAAACTAAGATCAGAGGATTTAATTGGGTAACCCAAATAATAGGTGGGTTATAGGTATGACATCTAGTGTAAAACCTAATAATAGGCAAAATAGGCAAACTATTTAAATTAGGCGCTCAAAAAGCACAGGTATGGCTAGAATGTACCCTCGTCAGAATGAACTTGTCTGGGGCCCCTTGAAAAGAGCACCACATGATTCTACAATCTAATAAAAGCGAAAAGCCAAAGAGGCTAACCTTGACTACAAAAATAAAAAAAAATTCAAAAAAGCTATCGTAGATCTATCAAAATCGATACTTTGGCTGTCCATTTTGTCACGTGCATTTTTTTTTGCATATAATTTTCCGGTTTGACAAGATTATCATTAAATTTCTAAGATGACCGAGAAAGACAGTGGTTTATTTGCAGCAAGAATTTCTAAATATGTGAGGCCAACCGAAGGCAAATTAGGGCCTAAGCAATTAAAGGTTGAAAAAAAAAAAAAACTAAAAATTAAAATAAAATAGGATTATTGCATAAGGTATTATCGAAACTGACTTTACTTTTTATAGAAACTCAAAAACAGAAAATTAAAAGGTACCCTTGAACGAGTTGAAAAGTATACTCAAGAAGCAGCTCATAAAGCTGCAAGTCATGAACTATTGCTAATCGAAGAGCCTGGGTATGTGAGTGCTATCATAACCTTGAAACAGTTGGTTTGATATTTTGGATTTCGTCATAATGATTGAAATAGTTATTTGGAAGCTGAAGGAATCGAAAAAACATTTAACATCACACAAAAGAAATTAAAGGAACAGTTGGATGAAAGCTCTGCTAAAAAGGTTTGTTTCTGATTATTGACACTTCAACAGTCTTTGATATTGATGTATTATCTAATTTATAGATATTTGATCTTCAATTAACTACATTTGGTCCATATTCTCTGGATTACACCCGTAACGGACGGTAAATGTTTCTATAGTACATATAGCTCATTTATTAGTCTGTTATCTGTTAAATATCATATTAATTTGGTTATTTGCAAATAAAAGGCATATAGTCATTGGAGGCCGTAAAGGCCATTTAGCAACTCGGGATTGGCAAGAAAACAAACCAGGCTGTGAAATTCATGTAAAAGAGACTGTTCGAGATGTAAAGTTTGTATTCAGTTCCGTAGTTTAATAAACACATTCTCATAATTTCATTTTTTACACACTTTTTTTTTTCCTAATAATTTCCAGGTGGCTTCATAATGAACTTTTCTTTGCTGCAGCACAAAAAAAATATGTCTTTATATATGATAACAATGGTCTCGAAATACATCTTCTAAAAAAACATATAGAAGTGAATAAGCTTGAATTTTTACCTTATCATTTCTTGCTGGTTTCTGTGGTAAATATTTTTCTGATAAGTTTCGTTTCAGATAACATCAGGAAATTTTGAAAACTGATTGTAATCGATTAAAATTTAATGATTTCAATCGATTATAATCACCCATATCGATTATTACGGTTTGCAAAATTATGTGAAATTTGAAGATCAATAAAAAAAAATGTAATCACTATTTTCTGATTACTGAT